AGTTGATCGTAGGGGGTTGCCGATAAGATTTGCACTACGGCGGCTTACTGGGATACACGCGTGCTACACGCATGATCGTACACTGTCTGAAAAATATTAGAGTGCCTCCAATACCCATCCAAGTTTCAAGTTTCAGCTATCAGACAGTGTTGTTTTCACGTACTATACGAGTACGCAGTTCACCTGATGGTAAGTGGATACTGTTACTCATAAAAATATACATCTTTTGTCAATTAAGAATCAAAATACAGATACGTTGTCACTCACAATATGGAATGACTCGTTTCCTGTAAAATAGGGCTGCGGTTCTCAACACTCACTATGCGGAACGTATTAAGCTGCTATTTTACGCTGGTATTCTTTGAGAGCATGGTCATTTCCTATTCGAGTCACTTGTGCTACCACCATATTATAGCTCTACAACGCATAAACTAAATAAACCACGCTTTTACCTTTAATTTCTAAACAGTACTTAATAATTTTACAAATCACACGCTGATCGTCCAATTAAAACACGTAGGTAACTAATTGTTTCAGTAATTAAGAGGATACCTTGAAAATAAATCGAAACTTTTGGGGCGTGGCTTATTCCTTTGTCGGTGAAGCTAATGGACGACTGCGGGAGTGTCAAAATGAAAGTGATGCAATGACTTCATAGTACGCAAATTATGAGATAGCCATACCGAGCAAGCGCTCGGAAATAACTAAGTAAGCGCCAAACAAAATTTTTATTTATTTTAACAAAACTTCGTTATGTATTAAAAACTGGTTTAAGAGAACTTAGATATAATTATTTACTATGCCTTAAAAATAATTCCATGAAATTATTCGTAAGAATATTGTGTTGTCATCGAGAAATGTAAATAATTAGAGTCTAATTTGCAATTTTTTTCTATCGAGAAAATTACATGATATCATGTTTGTTTTCCTTTTATGCAATCCAAGATCATATAGTCAAAAATCATATACCAAAATTTTGGTTTGTAATCTATAAAACTTTAAAAAATATGTTAAGTAGAAAAACCACAAAATTTTCGAGGTATCACCTTAAGGTGGTAAGAGATTTTGATCATAGAGTTATTTAGATTTTATTGTTTTTTATCTTCTTCTTCTCTTGTTTTCGTCTTTCATCTTAATTTATATATGTTTACTCCAATAAAATAAAACTTTAATATATTTCAGTTATTTTTTAAATAATCCAATAAAATACAGATTGTATCTTGGTTGACACCAAAATATAACCGTAATTTATAAAATAAAAAAAAATTTGAAATTTAATGAAAATTACGATATACGATAATAAGCGATCTGTATTTCACTTTCAATTGCACATTAAAACAAAGATATTTCATTTAAAAATTTAAAATTAACGCTTTTTTATTTTTTTAGATACAGTCCACAGACTAACGAAAAAGATGATTTTTTTATTTATTTTAGATTTTTTATTGTACAACAAACGAGCACACAGTCCACCTGATTGCGTGGATTCTACGGCCCAATGACATCTACATCTATTCTCAACTAGAAATTTAAAATGCAGATGTGTTGTCACTCCTGAGCCCTGAGGACTCAGATGAAACGCCCGTCTAGGTACATAGAAAAGCAGTAATAATGAACGCTAATAAAAAAATTATACAATTGAAATTACCTGCATTTCACAAGAATATGGTCGATATAAAACTATAATACTGGAGTTTTATTAAAATTAATGACACGAAAAAAACTGGTTGACGGAAGTCACGCAAGTGTGCCGAGGCTTTATACAAAAAATATTCCGCATTTTCAAAGCGTTAAATATAATTAACATATACAGTACTTATTACAATAAAAGAAACTACTTAATAACTGAATTTATCAAGGAATCCTAAACCCGCATTTACTTCTTAAAATATTTTTTTAAATAACATATAATGCATCTCTTAAAAAGTTAACAATTAAAGTTATTATCTTTTAAGATAATAACTTTAATTGTTAACTTTTTAAGACTAACTTTGTAAGACTTTAGTCTTACGCTATAGTGCCAAAAATATTGCGGCGTTTCGTCGCTAAATGGCAGTAATCTAAGTATTACTCCTTTAGGCGATAAATAATTAGCCCTTTTGTGTTTAGCAACGTTCAATCGCGGATATAGTTTTTTAGAAACTATGTCCGCTTTGCCCATAGACATTTACATCTTTCCTCGATTAAGAATCAAAACGCATCCGCATTTTAATTCCTAATAACTTATCCCAGGGATGCCGGGTTAAGTTAAAATGCCTCGGTTCCAGTACAAAGGATCTCTGGACTATTCTGCAAGAGAGTGATCCTTTCCTGGTCGTGCCGACCATTTCGTGCTACAACCATATTATAGCTGCAGTATGACTCTACCACGTATGAATATTGTATCTCACTAATTCTATCGGTTAGTTTCCAGTGGAACACTCTCTACAGATGCGAACTTTAATATTTATTACCTTTTGTTATTTTTAATTAACCTAATGTTTTAGTCAAGCTCGATCGCGTGACTTCCGTCGAGTCATGTACTTAAACATTCATTTTAATAAAATGTTATTTTTACGCCAACCTAATTATAGTTTATATGTACGTATTGTTGGTGTGAATAGTGCTATGTGAGTTTCAAATTATTAGAGAAAACTTGTTGATATTATAAACTTGAAAGTATGTATATTTGCCGTTCACAAAACGCATAACGGTTTTAATGAGGGCATCCGTGACTTTTTTTTGCCAGGGTGGCTCCACTTTGCCGTAAGGTGAAATATTTCAAAGCAGGAAAGCTTTTTTTTTAGAAAAATATAGGGGTTAATGTTTCTTTCGATATCATTAGTTATATTTTATATCAATTAGATTTGAAATGAATAAACCAAACTATGAATATAACTAAAATAGGAAAATTAGAAAAAGACTTTAAATGTGCAAAAATTATAGATTAAACCTTATATATATTAACCTTACGTATATTAATATAATAATTTAGAAACTGATGAACTATTATTTAAAACTAATTTCTCAATAGACTGACATTTTGCACCAAAAAAATTACCTGAGTCACTAGCGACATCTGGAAGTGGAAGATTATTAGCTCTCATTGAAATTTGGCTAAATGATAGATTATGATGTCATGAGAATCTGACATGACAATAGCATGATATTGGTATTTATTTTATCCAAGGTATACCTCAATCTCTGAAAACTAAAATGTACAACCAGTGCGTGTTGCCAGTGATGACTTACGGATCTGAGACGTGGTCCTTCACTGCTGCCGTATGAGGATGCTCAAGGTCGCAAGCTATGGAGAGGGCTATGCTCGGAGTTTCTCTGCGTGATAGACTCAGAAATGAGGATATCCGCAGTAAAACCAGAGTGACCCACATAGCCCAATGGATTAGTAAGCTGAAGTGGCAATGGGTCGGCCATATAGCTCGAAGAACCGATAAACGATGGGGAAGAAAGGTTCTCGAGGGGCAGCCTCGTACCGGTAGGCGTAGTGTAGGGCGACCCCCCACTAGATGGCGTTACGACCTAGTAAGACATGCAGGAAGTCGATGGATTCAGGTGGCTCAGGACCGTGCTTTCTGGCATTACTTGGGGGAGGCCTATTTTCAGCAGTGGACTTTTGAAGGGCTGTAATGATGATGATGATGAATCCTCGTATAAAATAAAGTTGACAGCCATTCTATTGTGTATTATAGTATTCTATGGTTGATAGTATATCAAATACGGCACATTACGTAAAAAAACTGGGGTGTTTTTTTTAGGGTGTTCCCTAACTTTCTCCTATGTCGTGGCGACTATAGAGGTTGCCAGTTCACGACAGCAGAGATTCGTTCAGTTATTGACTTGTGAAGGGCTGTAATGATGATGATGAAGTGATGGGCAAAAAGGCCTTCATTTCATCAAATTTATGGACGTGGTCAAGCGAAGACACAGACATTATGTCGAGAAGAAAAGGGTCATAATTCGGGAAAAATTATGTGGTAGAAGTAGGAAGAAGTTTTAAACTTGCTGCTTCGATAATAAATTTTAGTTTTATTGATCTGGAATTGCTTTTTAAAAGAGAAGTATTAAAATCACCCATAGTTACACCGTGACAATAGATAGGTGTAAGATTTTCAAGAATATTTTCTAACGTGGTGAAATAGTCGGCAGTGAGAGAGGGGCTGTAAAAGATTCCGAGAAGAATTTCGATAAAGAGAAATTCAGCTTCGCCTCCAGTCTGAGAACCAATTGAACCTGAATTATTGAATAAGGTATATGAAAGCGTAGATAAATAACAACACCGCCACCACCCCGATCGGTACGATCATTACGAATCAAATGAAAACCTAGAAGTGAGTAGGATGTTGATGGAAGACATGGTTTTAACCATGACTCCGAAATTAAGATAGCGTCTATGATTTTGTTATTAAAACTTGACAATATGTCGAGGTAATGAGCGGAAATACTTTGGGCATTTATACGAATTGCGTTAAAGTTTTTGCTTTATTGAGAAAAAATTGAATCTAACGTAATATTTAAGGGTGCAATACTTTCATAGCTATCAATGCTGATTAATCCATCAGAAGCAGAATCAAAGGCGAATTAATTGGTACTTCGAACTCTATTATCTGAAGAAATCATATTAAATTATACCTGATTACTAAATATGATAACATATATAAAATTATTATGATTGTTATGTATATATATATATACATATATACACATATATATATATATATATATATATATATATTTCCATACTGCTAATCAGTTAACCTGCTAGCAGTATGGAAAGAAATGTATAATTAACTTAACAATTAGTAAAGAAACCGTTAACATACAAAAGACACAAAAGTGACAGGTGTCAACGTCAGAGTCAATGTCATCTTCTGATTTGTTGCCCTCTGTCGCCTCTTACATCATACACGTGATGATATGGGCTAGTGGATATTCTTACGCGCCACCTCACGGTAACTTTATACCAAAATCAACTACATTGAAAGTTGATAACAAAAACATACCTCATAATATCCACAAGCACTTTTAAATAACAGCTAAAAAAACAATTTATTACAGTTTATCTTATAGTCTATTTAAATTCTCGTACAGCCTCGTACTCGCAAGCGGAGTGTTGGGCAACGGCCAATTAAATTGAGTGACGACACGGTGAAACACGCAAATAGTCTATGGATGCAGGTGGCTCAAGACCTTACTTTATACATAGGGTAGCGACCCTATGATAAGTGGATACTGTGTCCCAAAGATAATTCATTTATTCATTCATAACGGTCTATCAAAATTCACTATTGAACAAAAACCATCCCAAAGATTGCCCCACAAGAAAGCTATTTATCATAGTCGTCACGCTTGACAAGCGAGTTGGTAATCGCTGTTTTATGTTTTTATTTTCTTGTTGTTATAAGGAAGAAACTGCTCCTCATCTCTTGGTTTATTACCGTCTGCCACCTGTTACGACTCCCACGAGACAATATGGGGTAGTAGATATTCTTATACCACCACTGCATCCTTTGAGACAAACTATCACAGTTTGAGACGAGAGACATATATAACTATTGTCGATTAATAATCAAAATGCAAATGACAGATGATTCACCATTGAAGATAAGGATTGAATGCTTCACTACCAGCAAAAAGGGTTGCCTACTACACCAATATTTATATTTTATACACATCTAGCTGGCTAGACAGACTTCCTTCTGCCCTTTCCGACCACCCTTTGTGCTTTAAAAAATCTTTAATTTCGCAATAAAAATATTGAGAGTCAGTTATCGGGATAAAACAATCCGATCTTTCAACTTGGAATAAACTGCACACAGTGTGTAAAATGCGTGCGGACAGCGGTGAACCAATGTGATATGTAATTTTTATGTGTAAAGAAGATTTATATTTTAAGCAATAAATATAGCATAAACTAAATGCAGTCGTAATAAGTTGAGCACTGCAAGTTTAGTCGTCACAGATCTTTTGATTTACTGTAAAATTACATTTATTACATCGAAAGTCCTTTTTTAACTTTATAGTTTACTACTATATATTATGATAGATGAATTTATAAATATGTCGCTTTTCTGTGTAACTTAACGTCTGATATTAATACTTTAAGAAGTTTTTATAACGTATGTAATCAACGAGACTCAGGCAGTGAGTTAAATAGAAAAAGTGAATTATATAGAAAGTTTAGATATATTATTATATGTAGTATTAGATTAGAGACTATTATTATTGTTTTCCCTTTACGCATGACTCCAAACAATAGTTCTCAAATATTAAAAGAGTTTCTTTTTATAAATTAACTTACCAATCCGAGTACAAGCCTTGTATGGCAGTGTCTAGTTTTTGTGGCAGCTCATACGGACAACTCGCCCCACCGCAGAACAACGCACACTGTAGTGCAGGTGGTGTACTGATTCGGATCCTTTCGCCGAGTGCGCTATACTGGGCTGATGGTGGGCGGTTGATCCTTCGACGAGACTCACGGCTTCTGTCATAAGAAAATCTATTTGATGCGATTTATATTTAGAAGGAAACAGGGATCTAATAATTACTAGATGGTAACACTTCTTTCCGCCTAGGAGTGTGTCTGGGACCACGCTCTTAACTGTTTTAACCACCAAGCAGCAGTGCGTGCACCACTGTGGAACACAGATTGAAAGTATAATTAGAGGCTGTGAGGTATTCCATTTTAGGCTTTAGAGGTGGCAACACATCTGTAGCCATTTGTAGCTTTCATTATTTGTTGGTTGTAGGAATCCATGGGCTGTAGCAACTTACTGCCAGGTGGGCTGTGAATCGTTTCACTTCAGCTTTATAAGAAAAACAAGATAGAAATTCTTCTTCGTCTTCTGTAAAATTCTGCAGCTGGGCAAGCGGATTGTCGACTGCAGCACTCGACGTTTTACACCATGGCTCTCCGTCGCCAATCTTAGAATTGTATGTCTGGTGATATACGATGGCTACACCTCCGTCTATCAGAGATCAAAAGATCTTTTGAGGAAATGCTAAAGCCCCTTTCCTAGACCAACGATACAATTTTTTTTATATTATAAGGGAGCAAACGAGCAGTCGCAGCCATTTTCATGACTACCGACGCCCAAAGACATCTGTCGGGATGTTATACAGATGCGTTGCCCTCCTTTCCCCTCCCCCACCCAAAGGGCCACCGGATACTTACACACCGCACGAAATGCGACAGCTCAGCTGCCACTTTACGCCGGTATCGTGTAACTATACGTGATTGACGCTATTACGTCGAAAACATTCGGCAAAAATCGTTTACTTTGCTATAAAAAAGTAAAAGGTAATGACGTCCCTCTTCAAGGCACAAGTTTCCTCACATTACTAAGACGGTTTGGAAAAATGATGGATTTAACTTCTACTATATCACGCGCTTTACCATTATTGAATATTATTGCCGAAGAAACGGAACATTTTCAACTGCAGTCAGGCAAAGTGCACAAACTCTGTAAGAACTATTTGTAATATATTTTTTTTCTTATAGAATAAGGGTGACCGACGAGCACACAGTCCACCTGATGGTAAGTGGATACTACGGCCCACAGACATCTTCATTTAACCTTGCCCAAGAATACCAAACGCATATACGTTGTCACTCTTGAGGATTAACATGGAATGCCTCGTTTCCAGCAAAAATCGTCCTCGGTTTTCTACACTCACCATACGAAACATAACAGCATGAAGGTACTATTTCACGCTGCTAATTTGTGAAATCTTTGTCTTAACCCAAGGCGACCCATTCGTGCTACAACCATAATATGCCAGCGCCTGCAGCGTGGATCTCCCACGTAAAAATTATATTTAAAATTTGAATTTGAATGAAGTTTTAAAGTTATAAAGTTAAATTGCTCGGTTTAACAATGTCTTGGACGAAATGTACTTAACAACACTGTTAACTGTTTTTGTAATAAATAGATAAATCATCCATTTAAAGTCCAATGTTGGACGTAGAGATTTCCTTTAATTAGTGGTTGGTGATAGCAAATTCATCCCGCTTTGCAAGTGGGTTGGTAGTCGCGCTGCTATAATTATTATATATGTATTTTTGGTAGGTTTGGAGAGAAAATACGTTTGACTCACATCTAAGGCACGATTTTATATATTATTCACAATCATTGGGTGCATACAAGCACAGTCACAATATAAATTCTAAATAAATAAATACTTTGTCAAAGTATGTTAAGTAGGTACTTTTGAAGTTATTAGGGAACCGGAGAACAGACATACATACATACTGGTCAAATTATAACCACCTTTTTGCTACGCCGTGGTCGGATAAAAAGAATTATATATTTATATTGAACTCGTTTGAGTTTTCTATTATTTCATTTATTATTCTTGCCTGTCTAAAAAATTAAATCGACGTAAATTTTGAAAGTTGACACTTGATTTGCGATGAGTCCTGTTATATTTAATTTTTGACATTTTCGCGAGTTGTTATTTAAATTATGTAAATTTCAAATTCAAATTCATTCAAATTCATTTATTTATTTGTGAATACAGTAAGTTAGGTGTTATAAAAATTTACCGTAGGTACCGTGTATTCTACCACAGTGTGGTGTACAAATATATTTCTTTACGTTATAGCCAATAACAGCAAAATGGAATACTATTAAAATTGATTGCAAATTATAAAAATACAATAATCATATTTGTAGGTGGTATTAAATATTCACAAAAATGTTATATATTATAAGTGAAAGCGTCTTGCAATGATACCCATGACACATAACACATTTCGTAATGGCGCCTTTACGTCTATATTGAAAAAAAAAAGAAAAAAAAGGTGAAGTAAATAAAAATGTCATCTTTTCAAATTATTATTACTATTATTAAATACACGAGTCAATAATAAATACTGCATCTTAAGCTAATGTCACGTAAGTAAACTATATATATATATACATAAAAAAAAAGAAATCAAAAATGTCGATGTCATCAGGTTATCATAATATCATGTCAAATGTATAATATGTGGTATGTCAAATCAAATATAAATATTATACTATTATGTATACCAAAACAATCATTTAATTTCTATGTCATTAAGGTATTCATTAATAGAATAGTAAGATTTAGTAATTAATAATGTTTTTAATGATTTTTTGAAGCTTTGTATATTATTTATTTTCTTTATGTCATTAGGTATTTTATTATATATAGGTATGGATAGGCAAAATATACTTTTTTCGCATTATTGCTGACTTTGATTGTCGAACTTTTAATCTCAGAGGATACCTTCTATTATTTAAATTTTCAAACAGTGGCAGGTTTCTATGGACAAACACAGCCGTCTCATAGATAAAAAGACAGGGAAAAGTTAGAATTTGCAGCTCTTTAAAATGTGGTTTACAGCTGTCTGTCCAGTGTAGATTTTTGATTGCTCGAATACACCTTTTTTGAGCTTTGAATACCTTTTCCCGATCCACTGAGTTTCCCCAAAACATTACACCATATCTAAGTGTTGACTCAACGTATCCAAAATATACTATACGAAGTGTTTGCGTATTTGCTCTTTTATTTAACTTATACAAGGCATATGAAAATTTATATAATTTACTGCAAACACTATCGACCTGTGCCTTCCAGTTCAGTTGGTTATCAATGATAATTCCTAAAAATTTAGTTTCTATCGTTTCATAGATTGGTGAACCTTTATAATTAATATTAAAACTTGATAAACTATCTTTTTGCCAATTAAATTTCATAATTTTATTTTTTTCTAAATTTATATTTAAGTTATTTTTTACGAGCCAATCAATTATAAGACCAATGGAATTGTTAATCTCAATTTCATAGCTTTGGGTATTATTGCCTTCATAAACGACCGTACAATCATCCGCAAAAAGGACCATAGATTGTTTTATCACCGATGGAAGGTCATTAATGTACAAAAGAAACAGGAGTGGACCCAAAAAGCTTCCTTGTGGAACGCCGTAGTACACAGCTCGGGGTGTCGATCGATAAACCTTTTCTGTCAACTTTATAGGA